ATATATATATATTTAGAAGAAATGGTGTGATACACGACGCTCTGTGATCAACGCTATTTGTGCACTGTAGAGATCTTTCTGAAGTATAAAATATTATTGTAAACCCAATATAAGGGAAAAAAAGAAAAAAAAAAAAAAACGAGAAAATGACTTGTGAAATATGAATTCCAATATCACTTTCCCCTTTTTTTTCTTCTTTTTTATTTATTCTTATTCTTTTTTCTTTTTATGGTTAAAGCAAAAACCTGTATTGTGTTTGGTAGTTAAATATTTTTCAGAGAAGAAAGAAAAAGAAAAAGAAAAAAAAACAAAAAGAAAAGAAGAAATGAGTTCCCCCACATGGTCTGTCTACGAGGGTGGATGGGGAGAAGTTTCTGAGGATAATAATGATAGTCTTCCGCCGGAACTTTCACTAAAGGGATGTGGGTTACGCCGTGTTTCTCTCTTACAGCGGGGTGCACAGGGTGCTGTTTATATTGCCGAAGATGCAAACAATCAACTTTTTGCCGTGAAAAGACTCTTTACACAACGCAGCGATTTTGGTATTCGTGGAATCTCTGAAAATGCACTACGAGAAGTGACATTACTTTCACTCATTGCCAAGAAATCTTTACGAAATGATGATGATGATGATGATGTGAAGCGTGAATTTGGGATAGTACATCTATACAAAGTTGTAGAAGCACCTTATCATGAGCTTTGTCTCGTTATGGAAATGTGTCCACTCGATCTCTCACAAATAGTAATTCAAAAGAAAAGAAAACTACATAGTACCCGTCTTTTATCTACAGATTCCTCTATACGATGTCCTATTTTAGCAAATGTAAATGTTATTCAATATCTTATGAGAGGAATTCTTCATATTTTAAAATATCTTCATGATGATTGTCATATCATTCATCGTGATGTTAAACTTAGTAACTTTCTTCTTCACGAAGATGGACGTATTCGATTAACGGATTTTGGTAGTGCTCGTTTAATGCATGATGAAGAAGAATTATCATCTAATCCTTCTTCTGGTGAATATACCCCCTCTGCTATTCGAACTACAATAATTTATGAAGCTCCAGAGTGTCTTTTGGGTAATCGGGTTTATACATCTGCAATAGATATATGGGCAGCTGGTGTTGTATTTGCAGAGTTAGTTCTTCAGCAGCATCTATTTAAGAGTCGTAGTGAATTGGCAGTACTTTCAGATATTTGGAAACTCCTCGGTACACCACCAGATGACCCAAGTACTACTAATACTAATACTACTAATGGTAGTAGTAATAATAGTGAAAGTTCCGTCACCTACTTGGTACGTACGGAGCCAACTCTTTCTACAAAGTTTCCTGAAAACATTTTACCCGCAGAAGGACTGGATTTACTTCAACGCATGTTAGAGCTAGATCCCAAGAAGCGTATTACGGCCTCTGCAGCATTATCTCATCCATTCCTTAATAGTACACATAATAACTGTGAAGAAGGCAGACGTCTTTGGCAGACAAAATCGCAGACATCTGCACAAGAGGTGGAGAAAACTGTCACTGTTGGAATGCAGGCACTTTGTATGCCCGATGATAGCTTTAATGAGAATGAGGATGATAGTGAGCAAAACGAAGAAGATCACTACCGTTTCTTTTGATTTTATTTTTCCCATTCTGTTTTTTTTTTTTTTTTCTAATATGAGCTTACTTCTAATAATAGTTCAATAAGAATATATTTAAGAAAAAAAAATTGAATAAATGAAGTTAATGAAGAAGCCGGTAAACATATTGCTTTTCACATTTTTTTTTTTAATTATAAATGTATGAGAGGGGCAATAACGTGGTCATAACTATGGTCCTTATGAATACACTGAATGAAAACTGATTTGTTTATTATTATTTTCTTTTGCTTTGGACTCCTGTTTTTTTTTTTTTTTTGTTGTTGTTGGTGGAGTGGGGTCGTTTCATTATTCATGCATATTCATTGGTATTGTTTTGTAATTTCGTTATTTTCTCATTAAATGTTTTTTTTTTCTCTCTTTCTCTTTTTTTTTTTTCATTTCTTTAATTTTTATTTTATTTATTTAACTTAGAGTAGAGACACAAAATTGATAGTAAGGTTTTATTTTTCATTGTGAATTATAAACATGTATTATCGCACCCTTGGAGTTAAGCGACGCGCCTCATCTGATGATATCCGCAAGGCATTCCACACGCTGGCGGTTCGACTTCATCCCGATAAACCCGGTGGATCTGTGGAACTCTTTCAAGCCTTGCAGAAGGCGTATGAAATATTAAGTGATGCGAAAACACGGGCCACTTATGATGAGGAGTTAGAAAAACGGAGAAGTAAATTACGTGGATTTAAACGACCAGCGGAATTTGAATCTGTTCGATTCCCTGTGCATTTCAAACTGGCAGATGATGAGTACTATACATTTGAAACAGCCCCAGATAAATTAAAATGTACCTTTAAGCATGGAGATATTATTACATGGAATAGTCAAATAGGTTGTTTTATTGGTTTAGCAGCAGACAATTATCTCTATTGGTGTCGTGATGGCAACACATATGCCTCACAATTATGCCAAAAAGAAAGTTTTGGTGTCGATACAGTGAAAGTGGTTTATCGTGCCAACTTTAAAACACAGCAGCGACGTCATTTGCCCTCCTCTCTTAAAAAGAAACCCACGGTGTCGAGAAACTCAACAACAACAACAACAGCGGCAGCAGCAGCAGCGGCACAGGAGGCGGAAACAACAACAGCGGAGGCATCGTCATCATCGGCGGCCGCCACGATGGGGGAATCCACCACCACCGACACAACTTCACATGCGGCGGAAAATGTAATGAAAGGAAGACGTGCGGTGTTGTCAGAGGCAGAGCGATTGCGACGTGATATTATGCGGCGTGAACGGGAGCGATATGTGAAGGAACAACTCGAATTACTGGTGGAATGTGAAAAGAAAAAACGTGTTCGTTTGATGGAGAAGATTAATGCGGTTCTGGAGGACAGACGACAGGAATTTAAAGATTGGATCGCAGCAGGAAAGAATGCTGGAACAGCAGATAAAGAAGAAGAACCGGTATGGATTACATACGCGAAGGAGAAGGAGAGAATTGCTGGAGAAACAGATGAAAAGAAATGCGAATGAAGATAAATGGGCTAGTAGAGGAGGTGGTTTGAGTTGTGCGGGATTTTTTGTAATGAAAAGAATTATAAGGATCTTGCATAACGGCATACCTGTGTATATCTGAGGAGATGAAGTCAAATACTTTTATTTCTCGCTTATTTATATAGAAGAAAAAAAAAAACGACAGAAGAGTGTGTGTACATATATACACAAACAAACAGAGCTAACAAAAAAAAAATGTACCCAAAAGGTAGAATCATTGCAAACTTGTAAGAAACAAGAAAAAAAAAAAACGAGTTGTGAGTCGAACAACTGTAGAAGGCGATCACGATTGTTCTTTTTTATTTTTCGTTTTCGTTTTTGTAAATAAAATCGTCTCTTAGCTGGGTCTTTGGTTTTCACTCCTTTTCTTCTTTTCGTCCTATACTTGAGTTTGACTGTTTCCTTTTCTTGAGGAAGTGGTGACTGTACTATATATTTTTATATATTTATATATGGATTGGTGTAGCGAAGTAAATTATCTTTTTTTATTTTACATTGTCTTTTTCTTTCCTCTTGTTTTCTTTTCATTCTTTTTAAAAAGAAGTATAGGACCAAAAACAAAAGAGAGAGAGAGAGAAATAGGGAGAAATAGAGATTGATTCGGTCATACGATTACATCTTTTTAACTTTTTTTTTCCTTTATTATTCATTATTTTCTCTCATCTTTGTGTCGATGTCTGCGGAGGCGGAAAAGTTCTTTCTCTTTGAGACCAACACTGGGCCCACCCCGGCCCCCGAGCAGCAGGCACGCAGTGGTCTCTTTCACCTCCCGCACGGCCCGCTGCGAACGCCGATATTTATGCCGGTGGCCACGCAGGCCGCATTAAAAGGCGTAACGGTGGAGCAGCTGGAGTCATTGGATGTGGAGATTATTCTCGGCAACACGTATCATTTGGGCCTGAGACCAGGGGAGGCGATTCTGAATGAGATTACACGACGAAAGAATATACAACAAGAGGAGGCACTGGATCAAAATAATGGAGAAGAAAAAGATGGAAAGATATCCTCAAGGATTCGAAATAATATGGATGGTATTCACTTTCTACAAGGGTGGAAACGGAATATACTTACCGACAGTGGTGGATTTCAAATGGTGAGTTTACTACGGCTCGCTAAAATCACTGAGGAAGGAGTACGTTTTCAATCTACACATGGAGGTAGTGGGGGTAATTCTCATGCTGTTGATGATAATAAGAATAGTGATACTCCAATCACAGAAGCTGTTATGAATGAAGATGGGGAATATGCACTTCTTTTACGTCCAGAAGATAGTATTCGAATTCAAAATGCTATTGGTGGAGATATTATGATGCAGTTGGATGATGTTGTTCATGTATTAACAACAGGGCCTCGTGTGAGGGAAGCTTCAGAACGTTCTGTTCGATGGTTAGATCGTTGTCTATCTGCTAATAAAAATCCTGAGAAACAAGGTATATTTGGAATTATACAAGGAGGTCTTGATCCAGTTTTACGAGCAGAATGTCTTTCAGAAATGATAAAACGAACAGCGTGTAAAGGATTTGCTATTGGTGGATTAAGTGGTGGTGAGGCAAAGGATGATTTTTGGCGAATTGTTGCTCAATGTTGTAAGGCATTACCAAAGGATAAACCCCGTTATTGTATGGGTGTTGGATACCCAGAAGATATTATTGTTTGCATCGCACTTGGAGTAGATATGTTTGACTGTGTTTACGCTTGTCGTACAGCCAGATTTGGTTCTGCATTAACATCAATTGGAAAACTTCAACTTTCTAAGAAAACTTATGCAAATGATATGGGACCATTAGATCCTGCTTGTAATTGTTCAACATGCAAGACTTTTTCCCGTGCATATTTACATCTTGTCGCTACCAAAGAAACTATTGGTTCTACACTTCTTTCCTATCATAATTTGGCTTATCTCATTAACTTAACACGTGGGGCGAGAACGGCTATTGAGGAGGGAACCTTCACAGAATACGTACAGAAATTTTTTGTATCGTACTTCCCTAAAAAAGATTATCCATCGTGGACGGTGGATGCGCTACGTTCAGTAGGCATTGAACTTATTTACTAAATATTAACATATATATATATATATATATATATATATGAGGATGAGTTGAAATAAAAGTAAGAAGAGAAAACACCCACCCGATGCGTTGTGATTCCTCTGTGTTGCAAGTAACAACATATACTTCTTCTTTTCTTTTTTGGTTATTATTGTTATTCTCCTTTGAATGAGTTATTTATTATTTATTTATTTTCTATTTTACCCATTGAATTCTCTTTCTTTTTATTTGGTTTTTCTCTCCTCTCTCTCTTTCTCTCTCTCTCTCTTTGTTTGTGTGTCTTTCTTTCCGTAGGACTAAAATCCGAGAAGGAGTTGAGGAGAAGAAGGATAAACAAAATCTCTCTCTCTCTTTAAGAATAGAGCGGAAGGTTTAAAAAAAAAAAAAATAGCCGAACACAAACAAAGAAAGAAAAAAGAAAAGAAAAAAATAAAATAAAATCAAATAACTGCAGAATCCCCAGTGATGTCTACAGTAGTGCCAGTATCCCTGCAGTGTTATATGGGACGCTATGAACTTCCCGTAGACTTGCAGTTATCCATTCGCGATGCCCTGCAGTTCTTCCGCCGTACAGTACCCACATTGGGTCAAGTGAATATGAATGAGTATGTGGTCAACCACAACGGCACACTGCTGTTGGATGAGAATATAACTTTAAAAGATGCCAAAGTGGGGGCAGAGAGTGTGTTGATTCTTGTGAAGAAGACCAGCTGTCCAGCGGCAAATAATAACAAAGATGATGATGATGAATAAAAAGAAGAAGAAGAAAAGAAAAACCTCTCTTTCTCTCTCTCACTGTGTGTATGTGTGTGTGGAGAGAGAGAGAGAGAGAGAGAGGTATTTTTCAAGTGGAAGGATTCTGTGAATGTCTTTCTCTGGGACTTTTTGTTTCCCCGTATTGAATGTAAAGAAGAAAAAAAAAAATGGTGTGTTTGTACCGGATGGAGAAGAAAATGGTGGAATTGGGGAATTACCATTTATAAACAGTGAACTGAAAAAAGATGGTTTGATTCCACTGTTTTTTTTTTAAATAGTAATAATCATAATAATTGTTATTATTATTGCTGTTGTCTGTTGTTGTTATTGTTGGTGTTTTTTCCTTATTTTCTTCCTAGTATATGCTTATACTTATCCACAGGTCGTTTTCATCTGTTCTTTTTTTCTTTACTGTGTATTTTTTCCTCCCTTCACAGTGGTTTGGAAGCCGTTCTCACACTCTTAATTTTTTTTTTTTTGCTTCTTCTCTCCTTGCTTTTTTTTTTTTTGTTTATTTACTTGGCACAAATGTATATATTATCAAAAAAAAAAAAAGAAACCAAGAAGAGGACTGCATAACGCAGGTAGGAACTCTCTTTCTCTTTTTCACATTTACACACACATATATATATTATAATACTATAATATATCTATCTATTTCTGTGTGTGTGTGTGTGTTTGTGTTTTTGTAAAGGGAATATAATTAGGTAGCAGTGAGATGTATCATTCACAGGACGCTGCTTCTGGTGCAGGTCTCACTATGAACATGGACAGCAATGCCGGTGTTGTGCACACAGTGGACGCCGCAGCGGCAACCAACCGCCTTCCAAAGACAATGACGTTTGAAGTTCATCCCCATGAAATTTACTTTCGTGAGTTTGAGCCACACAAAACGTATGAGGCGGTATTGCAGTTAAAAAATACAACAAAAGAAACCCAATTCATTCGCGTTGCCCGACCACAAAGTCACTTAATCACACTGAAGCTTCCACGGAATGGCGTGACCACGATGAAGGTCGCCTCTGGTCTCTCCCTCACATACAAAGTCCTCTTCACACCGGAGGAGAATCGGGATTATCACTGCGATCTCGTCGTCACTACAGATCATGAGGAGTTTACAATTCCCGTTCACTGCATTGCCAGTCGTGGTTGGCTCGCACTCCCACCGTCGTTTACCGTCACTCCCGCACCCGTGAAGGGCACCACAGAGACTACACTATTTCTTCGCAATACAGGGAAATTGGAATGTCAGTGGCATGCAGATACCGTGGCCCCCTTCACAATTACACCAACGAGTGGTGTTGTACAAGCAGGAGGAGGTGTTAGTCCTGTGAATATTATATTTGCTCCACCGAAATTACAACAATACAACTCTTCCATTATTTTCCGACTTGGCCCGGAGGAAGATATGATACAAGAGTTACCTTTGATTGGAAATGCGGTGGAAGTGAATGTAGTACTGGAGGAAAATACACTAGAGTTTCCAAGTACATTTGTGACGTTAGAAAATCAAGCCATTGTACGAGTGCGAAATGATAGTGATCATACGGTTTACTTTTCATGGAAATCAGATCGTACGGAAGTAGAAGAAGGAGAGGCGGAGGAACAAAAATTAATAGAACAAACGGAGGCTCTTTCGTATGCGGTATTGTCTAATTCACCGTATGAAACTACTAGAAAAAGACTCACAGCAGAACGTGTGGAAACTCTTATGAAAGCTGGACGAGTCTTTGATGATGATGTATTCACACTTGAACCCATAAGTGGTGTAATTTATGCAAAAGGAAGTAAAGAGTTTGTTGTTACTTTTAATCCACAACTTGCAATGAATTATTCTGCTACAGCTTATCTTGATATTAGTGGAAGAAAGAAAAGACTTCCATTATTAGTAAAAGGAACTGGAATGGGACCTCAATGTGAATTGGAGTATACTCGATTAGATATTGGAGATATCTTTATTGGAGCATTACATGAATATAAGGTAGCTATTACAAATAAAGGTTGTATAGAAGCACGTTTTACTGTTTTATTACAGGATACACTTATGGGACGTAAATTTACCTTTAAACCTTCTGAAGGTGTATTAGCACCTGGTGCACAAGAAATACTTACTATTCAATTACAATCAGATCTTGTAGGACTTATATCTGAAACTTTTCGTATTCATTTACATGGATCTCTTGAAGATTTAACACTTCGTTTCCGTGGACGTGTTACCGGACCTTCACTTCAATTTAATGTAGAAGAATTGGATTTTGGTAATGTATCTTATGATTGTTTACATTCTCGTACAGTTAAGATGACAAATACGGGTCGAATTCCAATTAAATTTCGACTTCGTATACCAGATACAAGTTCATTACATGAATCTATTACACTTTCTCCTTCTGAAGGTAATATTTTACCACGAGGAGAACAAGAATTACGAGTAGACTTTTTATCAAATACGGTAGAAGAATGTTCTACTGCTATTCTTGTAGATGTTGAAGGTGTTGGTGAAGCTGTAGATTCACTTCCTATTAAAGCAGCATGTCTTGTACCAACTTTATCTCTTTCAACAGAACAACTTCACTATGGTACTTGTTTTGTTGGACATGAATATATAATGAATTTGGAACTTGTGAATAAAACAGCACTTCTTGGAAAATATGATGTTATTATGCTTAATGAGGATGGAGCACGAACCTCTAATGCGAAGGTAGTGATAGGATCTCAAGAAAATCCAGAAACTACAGTTATGGTAATAGAACCACGTAGTAGATCTCAAGTACCTGTGAAATTAACTCCCTTAACAGTTGGAACACTACGATTGACTCTTTATGTTCGTGTACTTGGATCTAAAGAACCACCATTACCAGTTCTCGTCACCGCAGCTGCTAGAGGACCAACAGTAACGGTAGAACCAAAATCTATTTCATTTGGAACATTGACGTTATTAGAAGAGGCAGAGAAGGAAGTTGTTTTAAATAATACAAGTCCTATTCCTGCTCATTTTACATTAAATTTATTGCATGATAGTGCACGAGATGGTAAATCTGTTTTTACACTTGATAAAAATGAAGGAAAGATTGATCCTTATGGTTCTTTAACAGTAAAAATATCTGCTCGATTAGATGATGCACGAATGTTTTCAAATAAAATACAATTAACTGTTCAATATGCGGAAGATGATTCTCAATTAATTCCTGTTACTGCTATTGGAAAAGGTTATGCATTAGTTACAGTAGAACCTATTGAAACTGTTAACTTTGGAGATGTCTTTACTGAAACTTTAACAGAGAAAAAAATAGTTATTATGAATCATGGAAGATGTGATATAGAAGTTTTATGGGGAAGTAATCGTCCTAGTCGTTCAAAAACGGGTGGATTACCAAATATTTATCGTATTCTTCCTGAGACAACTACTATTCATGCGGGTACTTCTTATCCATTTATTGTACAAGCCTCAGCAGATACGGCAGGTGTTTATTCAGAAGAATTTGTATTAAAAGATAAGAAAGTATTTAGACCTATTCTCGTTACAACGATAACAGGAAATTTTGTAAATCCTTTAATTGCATATAGTACCAAACGTGTGGTATTTGATTATATTTACGGTTCAGAAGGAGAAACAGGTAAAGCGGTTACAACAAAGACTTTCACTATGAAGAATACAACTTCTAAACCTTTACAAGTAACATTAAAACGTGTGGAAACTCCACGAGGATCACTTTCTCCTTTTACATTAGAGAAACCTACAAGTTTTACTCTTGCAAGTGGTGAAACACATATTGTTGGAGTTACATGTGATGCCCTTTACCGTCATGATAATATTGCACATTCTGCAAAAAGTCGTATCCTTGTTGCATTTCTTAATCATCCATTTACAGAGTATGTAAATCTTTTTGCGAATATGGCATTTCCCGTTATTCGTATTGAACCTAGAAGTGGAGAAGTCAATTTTGGATCTATTCTTGCAGAAACAGAGAAACGATCTGAACTTACATTAACCAATATGTCATCCACCGTTGCGGCAGAATTTCTATGGAGTGTGGAATCTCTTAATGAACCAGTCACCATAGCAGATCCACAACAAAAAGAGAAACCATTAAAACACAAATATTTTGATTTTATTCCTTTTCGAGGTGTTATCCCACCCGGTGAGAAACGAGTGGTGGAGGCAGTTTTCTACGGTACCCGTGGAAGACACGAGGCGACCGCCACATGTATATTAACAGGCGGTCCAACCTACAATGTTCATCTCATTGGCTGGAGTGATGCGGCTGTGCGGTTTGACTGTACATATCTAGACTTTGGCACTATGCATCATGAGGAATCCGCACGGAAAACAATTTCCATTACAAGTCCCTCACATGTTGCCGTTCCCTTTACAGTTGATCTTGGCGCCTTAAAACAACACGGCTCTGTAAAGGTGAGTCCTATGAGTGGAACCGTTACCAACACAATTACACTCACAGTGACTTTCTGCCCAGTTATTCCGGAAGAAGTGACGGAGACATTTTATGTGCAGGTTGGACACCGGGATCCACAGCCCATTACTGTACATGGACTTGGTCAAGCCAACACCATTGCGTTAACCACAAATGATAGGAAGACGAAACTCAAACGTGTGGAGGATCCAACGTATCAACGTTGTTTAGAAAAGTTAATGGATTCAGATTGGATTCCTTATCATACAAAGGCTGGTCATTCACCTAAACTATCACGTACAGCACTTGCAGAGATGGAAGCCGATCGATTGACGTTTTGTCGATATCTTTTAAATCCCCCTACCACACCATCACCATTCTCATCACGTTCAACATCTCCAGTTGCTTCTCCAACGGTAATGGTGAAGGGAATACCGAAAAAGTCTACTCGCAATCTCAAATCTCTAAAAAAAGAAAATAAAATTATTCTTTCACGTTATCTTATTGATTTTGGTCATATGACGAGACAAGAAACTCGAACTACAAAAATAACATTACTGAATACATCTGTTTCTTCTGTGGCTCTTGTATTGGATAGAAAAATGATAGATCCTACTATATTGCAAGTGGAACCATCTAAATTTCCTATTATTCCTCCATTTGGAGAAATGGAAGTAACACTCAAATTATCTACGGAAGACCCTGAAAAAGTTTTAAATGGTGCAAATAAATTTTCCTTTTTTATAGATATTAAAAAAGGTCCACGTGTTATTGTTGAAGTTCGTTGTTTTGTTGCTATGCCAATACTTAAAACACATGAAAACATCGTAGACTTTGGTGATGTTCTTCTTGGTCATGTTAAAAAAGTACCATTACATTTCTCAAATGAGGAAGCTGTTCCTTGTACATGGAGTATGATATTAATAGAAAGCAAACGAAAGCCTGATACAGATACTTCTATGGCTTCTACTCCTACAGATAATAATCCATTACCAACTATTACTAAACGACAGTTTAGAGTAAGTAAAGATAAAGGAACACTTCCTCCTTTCTCTAGTATGACGGTTCAATTGAGTTTTATGACAAGGATAAAAGGAACGGCAAAAGCCAAACTTCGTTTACGTTATGCCTCTAATCCAAATGATTACTTTATTGAAATAAAAGGAAAAGTTATTGGAATGAATGTAGAGTTTTCACCTTTTCCATTGGTATTTCCACCTATTCATCCATGTCAAGTTATAAAAAGTTCTTTTACTATTACAAATAATGAGGAACGACCGGTTGAAGTGTTTAGTATGAATTATGATCATAAATACAGTACAGAACTTCTTATTTTACAACGTGCCTTGATGATGAAAAAACCTTCCAATAATGGAGAACGTGAACTTCATCTTCCTATTCGAGATCCAGGTAGTTCTTTACCAGAACCTTTATTAGATGCTGTTTTTGATGAAATTCAAACAGAAGAAATGGGACTTGAGTATAAAGATTTTGATGATTTAGATGATAAACTTCCAAATGAGCGAAGCCATGGAACTCGATTATCACTCAGACGATCCGCATCTCTTTTACGACTGGAGAAACAAATGGCAACGAGTTTAAAACAGGAATCACCTTTACCACCTCCGGCTCCTCCTACATCCACAGAGCCTATAGTTAAACCACAATTAGTTATTATTACAGGACCACCATTTTCAGGTAAAACTACTCAAACAAAAAAATTACAAGAATCTATGAATTTAATGCAATTGGATTTAGATGCTATGGTACGTGCAGAAGCGGAATTTGATACAGCAGAGGGTGAACTTGTTCGAAATATTCTTTCAGAAAAAGTAAGAAGTACATCTCCACAAAATAATGAAAATATGACGAACCCAAGTACTCCACCTCCAGTAGAAAATCTTTCCAAATCGAAAGTTGTTATTCTTCTTCATTCACTTTTAAAACGTCATTTATCTGATATAGATCCAAAAACAAGTTTAATTTTGGATGATGTAAAATCTATTCTTACAGATGATCGAGAAGCTATATTATTTGCTATTGAAAAAGCAGTATCTGCTACAGGGAGATCTTTACATATTATTTCTCTTGGAGTGAGTGAAGCTACAGTAGGACTTCGTCAAAATCTTGAAATTCAACAAAAATGTCTTGAAAATCTTGAAAAAGCCATGACAGTTCCTCTTTCAGAAGAAGAATATGAAAAACTCTCTTCTGAAGAACAAGATTCTTATAATCATCGCTTATTACAATATAATAAATGTAAACGTGATCTTACAGAAGCTACAAATGAAGTAGAACATTTTACCGCAGAAAGAATGAAAACTACACAACTTACAGTTCAAGCTGTAGTGGATGCAGAAATTACTGAAAAGGAAGAACAAGAAATGATTATGCGATCTACATCAAGAGGAAAGAAATTTGTACCAGAACCACGTCCTAAACCTTTATGGAATCAACTTTCAGAATTTGATCAATATAAAGAACTTTATGTACTTTTACGTCGTATGAATCCCACTATACATGTTGTTGTGGATGGTGAAGAAAGTGAAGAAGATGTTAATAAAGATATCGTATCGCAAGCATTTCCTTCACCTGAACATGTGGAAGAACAGGCACCACAACCTCCATCCTCTATATCCCCAACTATGCAAATGGGAGGTGGACAAGAAGTTCGAATAGACTTTTCAGATGTAACAAGGGGATATGCACATTGGGAATGGATAAATGATGATCGTGTGAAACGTTTATTTGAATCTTTTGAAGATTTTAGATTTTTTTCAGTTGTTCAACGGGATGTAGTAATAAAGAAAACACCAAAAGGAGCTTCATCACAATTAGTACCAGCCATGGAAGAAACAACTCGTTGGATTGTTCCACCCAAATCTTCTGTAGAAGTTGTTATTGTATTTTGTAGTGATAAAATAGGGGATCATACACCGACGTTTATATTTGGTATTACAGGTACTAGTCAAGAAATTACTTTCCCAGTTATTGCACGTACTGCTTATCCAGAAATTAGTAGAGATGAAAAGACTATTTTTGCGTTAACTAAACCACGTCCTATAGCTGGAAGAGGACCTTGTAGAGTATTTGTTATGTCTAAACGTACCTATGAATTTGGACCACTTGTTGTTTGCTCTGGAAATATGCAAAGTTTATCCGCATCTATAAAAAAGAATGCGAAACACTCAAATGATGGAGGATCACCTGTTAATAGGAGTAATTCACTTACAATGAGAGAAACTAGTGCTCAGGATACATTAACGTTTACAAATACTGGAATATTTCCAGCTGAAATATCTTTAATATTTGGAAAAGAAAAAGATACTACATTTACTGTTACTCCAAGTAAATTTACCCTTCCAGTTGGAGAGAAAGCTACTGTTACATTACGAGCAGTTCCTGAAACTATTGGTGAAATCGTATCAAGACTTATAGTAACTGTACGAGATAATCCTATACCATGGTATGTGAATGTTTCCTGTATTGGTACGAGACCAGCGGTAACACTTGATGGAAAGAAAGAATATCTTTTACAATATGGACGTTGTTTAATTACACGTGAAGTAGAAAAAATTATTACTATTGCTAATATAAGTTTAATGCCTACTCGTTGGCGTATATCAGGTATGGAAAAATTACCAAAAGAATTTGAATTAAGTTCTACTGGAGGTGTTCTTGATGTAAATGCTGTTTATCCTCTTGAAATACGTTTTAAACCAACACGTACAGGTGTACATAATGTTCAACTTAAAGTGGAAGTTACAGATTCAGAAGATATTTTATTTGAATCTCTTCCTTTAACTATTAAAGCAGAAGCTCATGATGCCGTATTGGAATGGACAAGACAAATAGATTTTAAACTTATGCATGTAGGAGATACAAAGAAAGAAATATTACGTATTCTTAATAAAGGACCATACGAAGTTGGATATATGTTACGTCTTCCTAAAGCTATTCAAGGTCTTATTACACTAACACCAAGTGAAGGAGTATTACGTGGATTAGTAGGATTTAAAGATGCTGCATTAGCAACGATTGAAGTTTCTATTCGATTTACAAAAGAAGGGGAAATTCCTTCTGCACTTGGTGTAATTGAAGCATTATTTTTTGATCCTATTGCGAAAGAACTTTTATACCCTGTTCAAACAATTCCTGTAACAGGTGAAGCTTGGTATAATAGATATACTATTAAACCATCTTGTATTGATTTTGGATCTTGTTTTGCAGATCAAAAGAAACAATGTACCTTTGAAATGCGTAATACAGGTCGTTTTCCACTCAATTTTCGATTATTTAATTATGAAACGACTCCTGCAATACCTACTCAAGATGATAATGATATTACAGTTAAAAAACCTCGTAAATCTGCACGAATGGATGCGGGATTTCAACTTGGTGCTTTTACTGTAACCCCGAGTTGTGGTGTTATTGCTGTAGGCGATAATCTTGTATTTCAAGTTTTTACAATACAAACAGAGAAGACTAGTCATAGAGAAACACTTGGTATTTATGTAGATCACTGTGAACCAGATTTAGATGTAAAAGGTTTACCGTTTGAACTTGTGGCCTCCCCAACGACTCCTGGTATCGTGGCCGATCTTTCCTCTACTGTGGATATTGAGACAGTGTTTGAAGAACAACAAGTCGTAACAAGTTTAGCCCAATGTCATCGATCTATGCGTGTTTACGTTCGAGAAACTCGTGTTTTCTCATTTGGGGCCACTCTTGTTGGGAGTCGTGTAGAGGAACGTTTCCGAATTGCAAATTCCAGTCCTATTGCCTGTACTGTAAAAGTACAACTTTTACCAATGAATCCACGTGAGGGAAAAGAAAGGGAACGAGATAAGAAGGAAAAGGATTCCTCCCTTAGTGTGGATGGATTTTATATTCTCTTGGATGGAGAAAATGAAAACACGGACACTTTACAATTACCATCTTTTGAAAGTCGATATATTACGGTGTGTTTTGCCCCACCCACTCTTCAATCCTGCAGTGCCCGGTTTGAGGCGGTGGTGGTGGGCGGCACAAATCCCCTCACCGCCGCGCTTCGCTTTGGATTAACGGGTGAAGGTATTTTGCCTACCGTGGAGTATATACTTCCACCCCCACTGCGAATACCTTTTACGATTGGAGTTCCACTCACTCTAAAGAAGAGTACAAGAGGAAAGGGAAAAGATGGGAAGAAGACGTCTGTGGCTCCGTATGTAGTAGATGATAGTAGTAATACCTTAACAACACCAGGAACAATTCAAATGCCATTAACACTTGTTGGGATGTCCTCTACACGAGTCTTTACACTTCGTAATACTGGTGAAGTTGCGGCTACGATTCGATTATCAACACCGGATGATTGTCCAAGAGATATTGTGATATCAAAATTAAAAGAATCTATTACACTTCCTGTTGGTGGTTCCGAAACGTTTGCCATAAGTTTTACACCATCCCAACCAGGTGCATGGCGAGTACGATTACGGGTGGCAGTAACAGAGAATCCATACGAAGATCGTGAATTGTTTATTACCGCAGAAGGACACTTTAATACGATAAGTCTTCATAATATTGATCCTACTACAGAAGATCATCTTACATTGGGTTATTGGTATGTTTCTTGTGTAAAGGAACATACTTTAACGATACGTAATAACTCTCCACATGTAGTTCGATTTGAATGGGATTCTTCATCTAATAATGTTTCGTATACCCCATTTGTTGGACATATGTTACCTGGAACTTCAAAACCCATAACAGTGCGATTATACTCAGATACAGTTTTTAAAGAAACACTTCAAACAACACTACGAGTTACATCTATTTCATTACTAGAAATGGAAGAATGGGATAATACATATGTACAAACAAAATTGGTAAGGTCTTCACCTATTGCAGAGGATGGAGGAGAGATAGCATTAGGAACTAATTTAGAATCTGAAATAGATACAAAGCAGAATCTTAAGAAAATTACAGAACCTATTCCAGAACCAGAATATAAAACTACTGGTGATGTTTCCGTAAATAAATCTCTTTTTGTAAGTTATTCTTGTGATTATGCTTCATATCAAGTAACACTTCCTATGAATGATGGTATGGAAATAACAGATACTTTGACATTTCCAAAAACAAAAATATTTCAAAGACGTTCTGTTATTTTACGGGTAAAAAATACAGGATTAAATGTACTTCCCTTTTCTTTTACTTTTGGTGATTTAAGATCTCGTGCAACCGGAGATGTGGATAATTCTGGTATCTTTACAGTGGATCCTATTTCGGGTATGATTGAAGCTGAAACGCATCGTGATATTCAAGTTACCTTTGCCCCTCGTTATGTAGAAGATGTTTCTCAGATGCTTATTGGACATTTTTCACATGCTTTAGAAAACAAAATATATGTTCAACTTTCTGGATCTGCCGAGTGTCCTTTAGTACATTTTAATGTTCCTCCGTGTGATTATTTAGAAACCCGTATTGAAGGAGAAGCAGGTCCTTCTTTAAATCCAGATACAATTCCTATTATGTTTCGTACTTGTGGTTTACAAAGTAAGTGTACGGTATCTTTTAAGGTTATTAATCCTACTACTACACCTCAACGTTTTGAGTGGATTGGGGATCCATTATCTCAGCGTGTATCACCTTTCCGTTGTTTAACACCTTCTGGATCTATTTCTGCAGGAAAACAATGTGAAATGACTTTTGAATATACGGCAACATCTATTGGAATTCGAGAATCAAAATGGAGTTTTTTCCTTACAGGTCAAATATCTGTACCATTCCTTTTAGTAGGAAAAGCAGAAGAACCAAATGTATTCCTACAAGTTAGTAAAGTAAACTTTGGTGGAGTATTAGTTGGAAATAAAACGGAAAGATTTATTGAACTTGAAAATAAAGAAGATGTTTCATTCCCATTTTCATTTGAACATGTTTTACATGATCTTGAAAATGCGGTTGGGGTAAAACCAATGAATGGTGTTATTCCACCAAATTCTAAAATAATGCTGAATGTATGGTATTCTCCTAAAGAAGAAAGTACAATGAATGCAAAATTAGTTTGTCGAGTGAAACGCTTAAGTGATCCTTTAACAATTAATGTAAAAGGTGAAGGACTTTGTATTCATACCACATTGGGTATTGAAGATGATAATAGTGATGATTCTGTGGAACCTGTTTATGTACAACCATCTCAATTGTTTCAATTAAGTTTAGGACGTGTACAAGTGGATACAGTAGTTAAAAAACGATTGATACTAACAAATGAGAGTCAATGTGCAGTAGATTACTCTCTAATAGTACCAGATCATCGTTTTATTGAATTAAATCCAATGTCTGGTACTGTATTATCAAAACAACGTGCGGTTATTATGCTTATTTATTCTCCTTCTTCAGAAGAAACTTTACGTAATTTTAAAATTATTTGTAAAGTTGAAAAGAGTGTCTTATATTCTATTCGTTTATCAGCTGTAAGTTATACACCAAAACTAAATCTTGGATTTGAAAAGTACGATTTTGGACCTTGTTTTATTACAGAATTTTCTTCTGGTGCCGTTATGAGTACTTCATTATCTATGATGAATGGTGAATTACGGGAAACTCTCGCAATAGACTGTATTCTTTCAAGTGAAGAATATTTTGATTTGGATGTATCTTCTTTAGTCTTAACACCTGGAGAAGTTCGAAATGTTAAAATTAGTTTTGCACCTCATGAAGTGGGAGGATTTACAAGTGAACTTAAAATTCTTATTAATGGTACATACCCTATATTTATTCCTTTATCAGGTGAGGGAGTGATACCACGTATTGAGGTTCCAATAAGGTTCTTAAAATTAGGGGCTGCACGTATTGGTGAAAGACGTACAGGGGAATTACGAATTGATTGTAAAAGTCGAACACCAACACCTGTTTCTCTTGCTAATGTTTTGGATGCTGATTTAATTGAGAGAGGTGTAACAATTTCACCTAATGATTTATTTATAATGCGACCACGTGAAGTTCGTATTATTACCGTTTCTTTTAAACCTACAACTCGTATGGCTGAATTTCAACGAGAATTACGAATGTTGGTATGTGGAAAAGAAATGCCATTAGCTATTATTTCATCCTCTTGTGAAGATGCGGAAGTTCATTTGGATGTACAGAATATTCTTTTTAATGATGTTGTCGTTGGTGCTACATCCTCTCGTCGTGTAGTGATTATGAATAGTGGAGATATCTCTCAACGATTTAAGTGGGATTTAGCCTTCGCCCCTAATAGTGAAATGAAAGTCATTCCCTCCTCTGGATTAGTTCGAGCGCACACGGAGCAGACCTGTGAATTTATGTATTCCCCAAAGAAGGCGGGAAGTACTTTCCGTCGGCCGGTGGTGGTGGAATTCGATAACGCGCAGCCCCTCTCTGTGAATGTAGAGGCGCACGGTGTGGGCAGACCGCAGGCGGATGTTGTGGTGGAGTTTAACTGCCAAGCGCGGGCCACCGTAACAAAGTCCGTGGCTGTAGAGAATCCAACAGAAACCATGTGGACCATACAGCCAGTGGTGAGCAGTAGACTGTGGACTGCACCAAAGGTATTTCAGGTGAATGCGAAGAGTACAGCAATGCTACCTTTAACATATGCCCCAGTGTTGGTGACGAAGGAAAAGGATGTGGCAAATCTTTTTATTCCACTTCCCACAGGATCGGCAATATGTATGCAACTGGAAGGTGAGGCAACTTATCCAACAGAGGCGGGAGCTCTAGATGAAAAGGTTGTAGAGACAAACACACCACATTCAGAATCCTTTACATTACAGAATGAATCTACACAACCATTACGTTTCTATATAAGTATTAGTTGGACTCCTGAACCAGAAAAAGGTATGATAAATGTAAAGATGCCAGTAAGTGTAGATGTTCCACCTAAAGGAAGTAGAGATTGTCCTATTACAATAACATCATTAAAAGAAGGAAGTATACGTGCCACAATTCATTGTCGCTGTTCAGAACGAGAAGATTATTCTCAAATGTTTGATGTCGTTTTAAGATTTGTACCTAAATCTGTATCCTCCAAAACAGATCTTGTGGCAACAGTTCGTACAAGTGCTTATCATCGACTTCATATTACAAATCCTCTTGAAAAGAATGTCATCGCAACTACAAAAGTAGAAAATGGAAGTGATGCTATCTTTGTAGATTCAACTATTACAATAACACGTAGAAGTGTTACGGAAATTCCCATACGTTTCTTCCCACTTGTTCATAAAGAATATCCAGTAGCTACCGTTATTGTATCAAGTCCAGAACTTGGAACCACAACATGTAAACTTAATCTTCGTTCAAATCCACCAGTTCCAGAGAAGGTTATAAAAATTACATGTCCACTTGGACAATCGGTTGTATTTCCACTTCGTTTCTTCCATTATAGTAAATCGAATTGTGAATTTGCTATTCGTATTCCATCAAAGAATAATGTTTTTACAAAGTTTGGAAGTGCTAGTTCTGTAAAAGCACAAGGGACTACACGTCCAGAAGGACAAGAAGTCAGTGTGGATATAAATTACGAACCTGTAAGTGTTGGTGAAACGAGAGAAACGATTGAGGTTTACTCCGCTATTGCTGGTCAATATATTTTCCCTGTTGTGGCTACATGTCTACCACCGCAGAGACAAGGACCATTTCCTCTACGAAGTGGACAAACAACAAGTATTCCATTTAAAAACGTATTTAATGAGACTATTACACTTTCATTTGCAATAGATTCACCTAATGTTGTAGTTCCCAAGACAACAGAGACTTTAGCAGCGAAGAAGTCTACTAATATTCAACTTATGTGTAAAATGGATGATGATAAACAGACAGCCCAGACGGCGAAGTTAACAGTCAGTACGACATATCATGATGAACTACTGCAGTGGGTATATTACTTAAAGAAACACGTTGTGGAACCAGGATCCTTGTCAACATCACCCTCTAGAAGAAGGGACCGATGATAGAGTGATTTACTTGAGACTTATGCTGAAGAAGAAGAAGAAGTAGGGAAAAGAAAAGAAAAAAAAAAAAAAAAACAGAAAGAAAGAACGAAAAAAAAAAAAGAAAATGTATTCAATTCCCTGTATTTCTTGTTTTTTTTTTTTCGTTTTTTTTTTTTTTTCTTTTCTCAGAAGTGGAGGAGCAAGAAGGTAAAGGTAAAGAGAGTTTCGTTTCTCTTTTCTTTTTCTCTCTCTGTTTTAGTGAGGGAGAAGAAGAAGAAAAACAAAAACAAGGCGTTGCAGTGTAATCCTCTGAGGAAGGCTCACATATATTTTTAAAGAGGTTGGAAATAGAGAAAAAAAAAAGGAAAAAAAAAAAAGAAAGAAATAAAAGTATCAGAATGTTTGGAGGTGTACTAGAGAAAATTCGCCTCTTTGAGGCAGACATTGAGCACCATATTGACAACATTGTGCAGCAGAAACTTCTCACAGATATCACTAATAAACGTCACCAGATCCTTCGAGACCATTTCATCATGCAGCAGGCTGAAGCCATTGGCCCTATTGCGGATAAATTACTCGATCTCTATCTAGATCAGGATGAGATTGTGGAGGCTCAAGAGGCCCCATCCGAAGGGGATGATGTTTTGAATGCCGCGATGAAGGAGTTTGAGGCGCAGATTGCGGATATTCGTGAGTATCACCGCACATTCCGTGATCTTCCACCGGTGAAGAGTGAAATTGATCATCCAGATCCTTCCATGTTAGAAGGACTTTTCTCTGTATGTGAACGCTATGGTAGTTGTCTTGATTTGGAATCACATTACCATCATTACAGTGATTTTATGTTGGTTACAAGTAAACGAGCAGAAGAGACGAATGATCCTTTGGGAAATGGATGGAAAGGACGTGTAGAATATTTTTCTTTTATTCCTACTATACCAAATATTATTTTAAATGAAATTGATCCATTTCGGAAGGTATATGGATTTACATTATACAGAAAATTTGTGGAAGGTTTACTGACGTACTTGATTGACTTTTATGGACGTGTAAAGGTAATGGAAAAGGATGTCTTACTCTCATCTCTTGAAAAGTGTGAAAACGATTCAGAGGAATATTGGTCAAAGTTACTAGAACATAAAAAGGCGGTAGTTGGAAATAATAATAGCAATAGTGGAGGAAATGGTATAACTTTAACTGAAAAGTCTACAACATCTACTTTAATAACGCCTGCACCATTACGTAAATATACTAAAGCGTTTGCACTTTGGCCAATTACTTACGTGGAATCTATGACGGTTAAAGATGATGGTGAAATACCTCCATCATTGACTGATGTAAAGGCGGTAATTCAGGCGGAAGGAAAAATTGTTATGTTACTACAGACACTCCTTTTTGAAACATTACAGGAGACTGAAAAAGTACTCTTACGTGATTACAGTAAAACAGCAGAAGAGATAGAATGGGAGCGTAAACACTTACAAGAGGAATTTATTCACTCTGTTGAGGAAGCTAGAAAGAAGTGTGGTTCAACTGTAGAGAGTAGTGTAGCTCAGGCCGCTCAGTATGATGTAATGACAACACTAGCAAAGGATGAAACTACCGGTGAAACTAAAGATACCACTAAGGCAGAGGAAGACACAACTACACAACTACTGGACCGTGATGGAAAACCAGTAGCACGTTGGTTGGTACAATTACAACAATTACATAAACGTTACTACTGCGAAGTGTGTGGTGGTACTGTTTATATTGGACCAAAAGCATTTCGTGAACACTTTGGTGCGGAACGACACGCGGAGGGACTACGCCGGCTTGGCGTCACTCATCACTTGAAGGACTATGAAGGTATTTCCAGCATCCGTATGGTGATAGCCATGCGGGATAAAGTGCTGGGCGGCAAGACGGGTTTCCGCAAGCGACTGCACGAGGACCAGGAGGGAGAAGAGATGCAGGACGCACAGGGAAATGTGATCACTGCAGGAGCATACAGACGCTTTCAGATATCCCGCAAGGGGATTTAATACCTATACCTGCAGAAAGAGTCTCTTTTTGTGGTGGGGACTGTGTGAGAAAAGTAGGGCGTTTAAAACTCATACATTCAAGGGGAAAGAAAAAGAAAGAAAAAAAAAAGAAGTAATTATTTTTTTTTTGTTTCTCTTTGAATAGGGTATTGTGGATGTTGTTGTTTTGTTTCTTCATCTCTAATTGATGAAGCTGTGACGTTATAAATCTTTCTTTATTTTTATCTCTATCTCTCTTTGTATTTGGTGGATACGAGAAAAATAAGGGGTATTCCACTTTATGTACTCTTTTTTTTTCTCTCTTTTACTTGAGTAAAAGAAACATACATTTTATTATCTATTCTTCCTCATTCTTTTTCTTTCTTGTACGTTTTGCTTTCTTAACCTTTTCCCTCACACTTTGCATGTAAGTGAGAAACTTTATACACAACAAAAAAAACAGAAAAGGAAAAGTAGTAGACATGACATCAAAGCGTTCTGCGAAACGCCCCTCCAGTTCTGCAAAGAGAACCGCGAGAAACAAAAGAGATGAAAAGACGACGGTATCAAAGTTAGATGAAAAACCAACTCCTAGTGATAGTGAACAGACAGTCATGACAGCACCGGGTGAACAGACATCCCCATTTTATTTACCATCACCTGTGGCTACAGATCCCAATAGTACTGGTAGTGTTAGTGTTGCCAATAGTAATACAGATACGGTGGATAATAATATTACAGGCCCACAACTCTCCAAACGGGCATTGAAACGAATGCGTGGATGGGAACCGGTTATTAAACCGCCTGAAAATGCCGATGCGCTTCCACCCCCTGCTGCACCGACTGCTGATGTTGTCTGGCTGGATAACAGTACAAGTGTCACGTTAATTCCAAATAGTAACAGTGGGGTTCACACACGTCGTGGAGCTGCTAATCTTGCGGCTCTTTCACCTCCCACTAGTTATCTTGTATACACGCGAGATCCTCTTATTAAAATGGGTCGAGCAGGTCGTCAAAACGTACATGTCATCACAAGTCTTCCACCTGGGGGAGATCCACGTAATTTACTACGCGATGTGCCATCTGTGAGTTCTCTCACACAGCGGAGTACAGGAACTGGAGGTGGAGGCTCTAATAACGCCTCATCCTCATCGAGGCGCCGTGATGATGATATGAAATGTGATGATGACAGTGAGGGCCCTGATGATAACGATAATAATGATGAAGAGGAAGATGATGATGATGATGAAGAAGAAGTAGAAGTAGAGGAAGAGGAAGAAGAAGAAGAGCAGGATGAGGAGCGGAGAGAACCAGGTGATGACAATAATAATAATAATAATAATAATAATAATAATAATAATAATAATAATAATAATAATAATAAGAACGTTGTTGAAGAAGGGAAGGAGAGTAGTGCTACCACTCAAAGTAGATCGCAGCGTAAAGTAGATGCAAATTTAGAAAAAACGAAAAAGAATAGAACAACAACATCAACAACAACAACGAAAAGATCAAATGATCCTCAACAACAACAACAACAACAACCACAACAACGAACAGGTGGTCTTTCAGCTGCACAAGCCATGCTGCCGCCACCATATAGACGAAATCGTCGACTTAAGCGAAAAATGCATATCACAGAAGAAACACCAGTCTTCGCTGTGCATAGTGAACTTCGAGACACAATGCCGCAAATATTTCAGAAAGCTCCATTCTCAACAGAAGAAGATGTACTTCGCTCCACACTTGATTGGCGTGAAGATCCGGTGTTATTGTATACTCGTCTCTTGTGGGAATTTGCACCGGAGAAATTTCTTTCTAGAGTTTTACAAGGACGTGGGAACAAAAAAACCACACCTGTAGCGGAAGAGGAAACAGAATCTGAATAAGCAGTAATATCATCATCCTTTTTCTTTTCTTTTTTTTTTTTGAATCTTTAAGAGATGAACTGCAATGTTGGTTTTTTTTCTTTCTTTCTTTCTTTCTTTCTTTTCCTCTATATTGGTGCTATATGAATCTATGGAAGTGTCAATGCAAGGGTCTTCAAACTGGACACTGCTTATACATATATATATATATATATATATATATATATATATATATATGTATGTACACTGCCAGAGGAGATTCATTAGTAAATAATAAAAGTTTCTTTTGATCTGTGTGGTGTGTGTTTTTCTTTTCTTTTTCCGTTTCAATTGCCAACTTAATTTTTCTTTCTTTTTTTCTTATAATTTTTTCTTTATTTTACATTGTTGAAAAAATATATAAAGCGTGAAGGACTTTCTCGTTAGGTTGTGACCAGAAAGGACACACAAATAAACGTCCTTTATAAAGAGGGGAAGAGAAAGAAATTTTTTTTTAACGTCCTCTTTAAAAGGGAATCAAAGAAATAAGCAAACGAAAAGAAAAAAGAATAGAAAAGAAAAAAAGAGTATACTCTAGATTATTCCGCAGTAGATTATAAGTCAAAATCACTCTTTTTTTTCTTCTTTATTTAGCCGTTTGTTTCTTTCTTTTCTTTTTTTTATTATTTGTTTTCCTTATAATAATTTCTGATACTCTTCCCATATTCAGGCCAATAATGCCCTCTAGTGAGCCTCAGTTCGCCACTGTCTCTCTCCTCATAAGTGAAGATGTGGCGGGTACATTCCGCGTGCCCATTACGGAAGAAACGACGGTGCGGCGACTCGCCAAGGATGCGATGCAGCGACTCCTCACACGCCGCAGTGATGGGCAGTACACATTCACGCGCGAGAACATCTCCGTCACGGAGGTGTTTGTGAACTGCGGCTCCCACAAGGCGGAGGTGTTCGCCCAGGACCTCGTCACGCATGTTGTGCGGGTGAAGGAAGAAGTTGTCCACATGCGTCTGCGACTCAAGGAAGGAAGACCAACAACCACAACAACGAATACTACTACTGCTATTACTACTAATGCTACTACTACTACTGCTGCTGCTGCTGCTACCAGTACAAAAACAGCTAAAGTTGATGAAATCTCCCATGCGACAACAGCCGCTGCCAAACACGAAAATACCACTAATGAAGATAATGAGCAGAAAACAGGTGCCTGTGGTGGTAAGAGAACAAAAACAGAAGTAACCACAACGGCGAAGGATAAAAAAGAGCAGACGGAATCAGGAAGACGCTCCGGTGCTTCTGTATCCTCACATCAAAGGAAGCAGCAAACTATAGAAGAAGAAGAAGAAAAAGATCATGATGATGAAAAGAAATCTGCAGTTGCCACAACAAAGTCTAAAAGAGTGACAGCAACAACCTCCTCATCCAAGGGAGTAACTGAACCGGTTACTGTTAATGTTACTTCTGTAGATAAAAAGAGTAATACTAATAGTACAACAGGTGGTATTGCAGAAGT